AAAAAAGTGGAATAAAGAAGGGGTGAAGAAAAAAAAGGATGGTAGGAAAAGAGGAAGACATAGGACGAGAGTTAAGGAGAGAGACGCTAGTCCAATTAGCCTCTCGGTGTGGAGTAATAGCGCGAGTATGAAATGGATGGATGAATAGAGTTAGCGCCTCTACAGCAACACCACAGGGGTTATTCCACATGACAAAGAGCCTTTAATTACCTCATTCTAGGCTCTTTATTTCCCTGTGGCTGTGCCACTGTGTAAATCTTTCAGATACAGCTTTTCTCTCATGCTCCTATTTGGGCCATGAAACATGTCATGTACATCTGTGGATCAAAACACTCATTGTTTTCTTCTCTACAACCATTATATGAAATACTTATTACCTTGGTGGAATGTGGCAATCATAAACCAGACCAGACCTACGCAGAAAACTGTGGGCCCACAAAATAGAGGAGGTTTTTTTTGTGGCATAAATTGCACAAATGCACAACCTCAAACAGCAATTCCCGCCTAAAGGGTTTAAAGGTAACGTTAACCCCAAAATAGAACTTATTGTCTTCAAAAACCCATATGACTTTTGAAAAATGTCTTCTATTTGTTCATACAGTACAGTGTCAGTGGGGTTCAATGGGGTTGTTCAAAGTCATGAGGTTTCACAGATTTGCGTAAATTATGACAGAATTTCATGGTAAACAGTCCCTTTAATCAACCCAGCATAGGGCCAGTTGTGTCTTATGTGGACACACTTGAGTGGCCCGGGATCATCAATAATAAACCTGCATCAGTGCATTTCTCCGGGACAGTGCTCTTGCTTTGCAATACCTGGTAAAGGTGCTCTAATGAGGGTAACCCCACACCGCAATGCTCTTTCAGACACAATAATGAGTCCCTTTCACATGTTGTACCAAGCCCTGACCTTACTACAACCCTGTCGGCATGACCTCTCAAGGAAACAACCTTTTGCCCTGATTGCAGTGTTGAAAACCACACTAAAGCCTCTTCGGTCATGCACTATGAACTTAGTGAACTTAGTGAACTTCTCTTAGAAGAAATTAAGCCTATTGCTTAACCCACGGTGACCACAATGAATATCGAAGATTAATCCAGCAAATCCCTTTCCTGTGTGGCATATCCCGGGGAGGGGATACGTAGCCAGCGGGCGTTGAAGCCTCTGCCCTTAACTGACCCTGATGCAGGGTGACTTCCGAGAGTTTAATAGACTGTCTATGTACTCCATCAATCTCTTTACAACCTCTCGGTAGGACTCTTTATGTGCCTTCATAAGCCCACAGGAGAAGATGAAGCAGCGTGAGAGGACGAAAAAGGATTGGAGATTGGAGAATGAACTGAGAGAAGTGCATTTCAATGAAAAGAATGATGGGTATTGTAGAGGATCATGGGGGCATTTCATTTACAAGACATTCTCATTGTACCCAAGTGCTTTAAAGCTGATGCATTTACCCCTCTTCACCTTTCTCTCTCTCCCTCCCGCTCATATCTGCATGTCTTCAGCTCTGACAGCTGCTCACTTAATAGATCCCGTTTGACAGTGCATAAGCCAATTAAAATGCTGCTGATTTAATTGAGCTGGGCAAAATCAGCCTATGCCAGAAAATGAGTCCATTAAAGAGGCGATAGAGGCCAGTGAAGCGGAGGCCATTCATGCTGTGAACCAAAGTCACATCCCGTCCCTTGCCTCCTCCCTCCACGCTCCACACATTCCCATTTGGGAAGAGCAGGACTCCGTGAGGGCTGAATGTTGATGCTGGATTACAAGCAAATGGGAGTCAATGGATGGATTTGTTCAGGGTTTTACAGGGCCGGAGTCCAGCAGAGTTTACCTATAGTTCCAATTAAACACACCTGAACCAGATAAATCAAAGTATTTAGGAACACTAAAAACTTTCAGGCAGGTGTATTGGAGCTAAACTCTGCAGGAAAGTGGTCCTCCAAAACTGAACAACCCTGATCTAAAGATATGCCATGGTCAGGACTGTACTTCAGTTAAAATTCTTGGGGAAACATTGTGACATATTGTGGAACAAATCGCTCTGGAACGTCTGAGCCACGTTTAAAAGAACATCCATTTTTGTTTTCAGCATCATGATATTATGCCAATTGGGAGATAACTGGCATATCTTACACCACCAGGCAGAAAAGTTCTATGCATCCTTTAAGCAGAGCAAGAGATAAAAGAAGCCACTTCATCCGGATCAAAATGAGACCGAGATGAGCAGCAGTCCCTGGTGCGTATACCCATAACTTTTGGAGCTAAAACTGGTTGAAGCATTCAGGTATCTTACACAGAGTTCTGCATAATAGAGGCTATCTTTACGGATAATTAAAATTCCCGATTATTCTCATGCAGACAGATTGAAGGTGCCTGAGGGTTGAGTATAATCTAGCAAGCATAACTTTCTCTCACTTTAATGCTGGCTTTTATCTCCGCAAAACCTTACTGATAGGCGAAATGTTCTCAAACTTCGATTGCTCTTTGGTGAAGGAACATCACAAAGGCTTCATTACTAGTAATCCAAACCCAACACCAGGTTCACATACTCTAAAACAGCCACCTCGTGAAAACCCCTCCCAGTACTCTCTGAGCCACGGATCCATTCCTGTCATCCAGTCTGGGAAATGAGGCATTAAAAAGTGATGCATACATTTAGAGAGCCAGGCTCTTGTTCAATCAGAGCAGGCAAAGTCGTTTAGCGATGCCTGGACTGACCACTCACTCAAGTGTGTGTTTAAGGAGAAATAGGAAGGAAATGAGATTTCAGACATGACAAGGGGATAATGGATGAACTCGACAAGTAAAGGACAATGAGATCTCAAACCTAAGAAGCGAGGTTCCTCCTAACCCCACTGTCTCTTAAAGTTAAACTGTGTGACATCTACAATGTGAAACTTTCCTTTCAGATCAAAATGTAGCCACTCAAACATGAAATGGTCTCAAGACTCGGCCCGATTTCACATCCCAAGTTCTGGCTATTGCTTGTCACAGGGTGAACTTGACTTTACCAGGTCAGATCACTGCTGTAGCGACTGCCCCCCTGCGTGCTCCTCTTGATGGGCTCACTGAGGCAATGCAATAAAATCTGAAATGAGGAACAGCATGCCTGCCTGCAGAGAGAGGAGATGAGTATATGGGCCGCATCACTGAAGCCCTGCAGCTGTGGGTCTGTTTGGAAGACATAGTTCATAACCAGCTGGCTCCAACAAGTCATCATCTCTCCCTAACATACAGACACACACACAGCGCTCCCAACATCGAGCTGGTGCTGAGCGTTTGCCCGTAATTTCATTTTCTCATTGATGTCATCCGATTTGACAGGCAAGAAACGGCAGGACACAAATTGCACACAATAAGATGTGCCGATACGCTCTCAAACGAAACTCTCTCTTTCTCTCACTCACTCACACCGCATCTTTTTCCCCCTTTAGCTCCTGCTGTCTCCAAACCTCATATTTTCTTTAAAGGACAATGCAGACCTGACAAGAAAGTAGAAGGGGAATGGGAATGATTCGAACTCTGTGAGCCATAACTCTTTATATATCACAAGGACATGCACTACCCATCGTGCCACAGCTCTGACAACTTCATTTTCTTATTAAAGGTTCATGGCATCTTCATGACATTTCTTGTGTCAAAGACAACATTAGGCACATTCAGAACGTCAAAGACCATATTCAGACTTGAAGTCACATATAAAAAGAAGCAGACAGATGCTGTGAGCCACACATTGTTGAACTACAGTATAAAAAAAACCAATTTAAAACTAAAAACTCCAAAACCAAATGTCTCCCAAACACAATTACTTCGGAAATGTGCATCATATCAGCCAGGCGCAGGCGTCAGATTGACACTCACAGAGCAAGTTATGACACACTCAGAGTAATGCACTTCAAAGTCGTGCCGATCAAAGAGCGGGATGTGTACTGGAGTATGGGGCTTGATTAATCCCCTCGAGTGTGACTCAGGACCGTGTCGGCCCGCCAGCAAAGAATCGGTCGTCTCCTGAGCAGCAGAGTGCAGCCATGGGGCGACTGCAACATGCAGCAGGCAGATTCAGCACCATGGAGAGCGCCCGCTCTGCACAGGTGGGAGGCTTGGAGAAGCCATGCTGAGGTGTCGAGTGATGGGATTAATGAATGAATAACACATCAATAGGGAATGCATTATTGTAATCGCCTTCAGTGCTTAACGTCACATGAATCAGCCATGTCTTTCTGTGTGTTCACTGACTGTGTGAAAATTACAACATTGTGCCAAAGGTGCTTTGAGATGGTTAGTTATAAACAAGCAAGGCTTCCAAAGGAAGGAAGAGTCTGTGCTCAATCTGACTCTGGTGAGGTGTCATATGACAGAAGCACACTTCTGTGATTAAAATTCAGAGGTATAAGAAAGAAATAACTCTGAAATCATAATCCTCAAATTCTCAGAAAAATATTTAAAAGCATTGTTACTGACGGTCACACAGTCAGCCAAATTATATATGAACTACACAGCCAATGCTTTAAACATTATACTCACTAGTATACTCGAGTGTAACATTTTGTTGAAAGTTTCCGCAATTATTATAAATATTTTATTAATAAAATAAACTATAAAATTATTATTTTATATTATAAAAATGTCAAAAACAGCAACATAAAATATATAAAATATACACAAGTTCCAAGTTTTTTTTTTATTATATGAATAATTTTTATATGTTTTTATTTCATATAAGGATGTGAGTGCATTTGAACCAAATATTGCAGATAATAAAGTTAAATGAAATAGCTTTGATAGGTTTTGTCTTTTCAAGCAATGAGAGGGTCTATTTCTTTGATTTATATCACTTTTATTGATCTCCCCCTGCCCTTGATGTGTTCTATCTCCGCCAGCTCTCAACTTTTCGGGACGCGTTGGTGTAAAAGGGCTGCTTTGAAGCAGTCCTGACAGCAGATCATACGCGCAAGCTCATTCAGTAAGTTTGCGCAGCACAACAACATCGACTCACCCCAGCGTTGTCATGGTGACGATGGTGTACCAGAACGCCGCCGGAATGCTGGTGAACTTGCTGGCGGAGGAGCCCTTCTCTGCGTAGAACATGACGGTGGCGAAGATGATGATGGCCATGGTGAGAGAGAAGAGCAGGAAGCCCAGCTCGGACGCGCAGCTCTTGAGCGTGTACCCCAGGATGCGCAGTCCCGCGGAGTGCCGCGAAAATTTGAAAATCCGAAAGACCCTGAAGACCCTGAGGGTAACGAAGGCCCCGCTCACGTCCTCGTTGTCCGTCATGACCAGGCCGATGTAGTAAGGCATGATGGCCACCACGTCAATGATGCTCATGACGCTTTTGACGAACTTGTACCTGCTGGGCGCGGCGATCAGACGCAGCAGGTACTCGACGGTGAAGATCATGACGCAGGCCGTATCCAAACAAAAGAACGCGAGGACGTAGCGCTCTCCGCACGAGACCTCCTTCGCCCGGTTTGGCCCGCTGCCGCACGGGACCGTCTCCACCACGTTGGCCATAACGGAGACGGCGATGAAAAAGCCCGTGACGTAATAAAACACCAGCGCCATGGTGCTGGTGTGCGGGTTCTCAAACGCGCGCCACATGGTCTCGCGGAACGACATATCCGGCAGAACCATATCTTTGTTGTTGTCGTTCTCCTCATCGTCTTGAATCCTCTCCACGTTCTCCCTCCTGCGATCTTTGTACTCCTCATAACAGCAGTCCCCTATTATCTCAGGAATGATGCCGAAGAAGGCCAGCTCCTCGTCATAGGCGGAGATGCACTCGTGGCGAGGGTAGTGCAGCTTCCCGGTTCGGTAGAAGTTGAGGATGTGCCTAAAAATGTCCGGGTCGCGGTCGAAAAAGTACTCGTTGGTCTCCTCGTGGAAGAAGAAGTCGCGCTCTGTGCTTCCCAGTAAGGTGTCGGGGTACCTCTCCAAAGTATTCCGCCAAGTTTGAAACCTAGTGCCGCTGACATTCAAGATGATCAGACCGTCCTGACCTCGCCTCTTGTCCCGTGGAGGCGGCGGCATAGGGGCGCTCGCCACGGGCATCCATCCTATGGCCGCGGCGCGCGCGAACGGTAGCCACGCGGCGACTCCGGCTGCCATGCTGACCCAACGTGCGTGACCCGGTGCGACTGAAGCAGGTTTTGCGCTCACAAATCCGCCGCGCGCAGAAAGGACATCTGGAGAGACACAAAGCGCAATCACTTGATGTTCAAACTTCAATGAAGGCTATTGCTCACGTGCAGGAGAACACTGCACAATGAGTCATGTTATTTATCAAGATCAAAGCATTCGAAAGGCAAGGAGGAATTACAGTGAGCGTAGAAATGAATGGTGGTGTATGTAGTATGCATGCGTAAAAAAGGCTTTTCGGTCAAACACAAATGGCTAAGAATGAACCGCATCTATATTTTACAGTGTAACCTATTGCTCAAGAGCAAGGGAAACAACTTACCTCCTCATAAATGGATGCTGATGCAAAAGTGCAGGTTTTTACACACAGCTCATCAGTTATAGTCCACTTTGAATAGCTGTTCCGCCGTTACGCACAAATAGGTATCCGAAACGCGCACTCGGAGGTTTTCTAGAGCAAATGCAACAAGTTTAGAAGTCAGGTAGAGGATTCACGTTGTCCAAGGGCATCCTTTTTTATGGTCCACAGCTTCTGTGCTTGACACTGACGCTCTTGGAGAACCCTGCCACAGTGGTCGTTTCATAGGAAGAGAAGACCACCCTGGCGAGAGCGCGTTCGGTGTTTGAAAATCAAAAATTGCCACTTTCCTATCCGCTTCTTTTAACTGTAATCCAATGACCCGAGAGCTGTTTCGCAAGGTCTGCATGCGACCCAAGCAAAAAGTGAACCCGCAACAAATGATTCGCTGGCAGTTGCTTCATCCGCTACCGACGAAGATCTGTGAGTCTGCGGTGGAGCCCAAGTTGCTTCTGCTCATGGCGCATTGGAGGCGTGTCACGTGCTACCGGCATCGGTTAACACATATGAATGTAACAGCCTGTGTGAATGGTGCATAAGAAGTGTTACGGTAAAATGTTTACTTGCAGTATTTTGTTCTGTTGTAGCTAAATGAAACGAACGTCCTATATTGCGCACTGTATAAAGTTATGCAGTGGCATTATCTGAATTATTATTAATCAAAGTTTGGCTGGAATTCAGTGAAGTGCTGAACCCTGAGCTGAGAGACTGAGGGAAAAGCTTTGCGGGTATTTTCACGTCTCAGGTTATCGATTCACACATTCAGCTCTGATAGATGTGCAGGGGTGGAAGCCGCTAGATGGAGACAGTTTTCAGAGGTGAAGGAAGATCAGACCTGTAAGAGCGAATGCATTCGAGTCATGTGAAGGTCTCTTGCTGTGACAAACACAATCAGCAAGCTCCAAATGCGATTATCTGTGTTGCAACTCTCTACACATGGGTCAATGACAAATAAGGATGGCTGAAAAGGAGAAATGCTGCACAAGGCAAGTGCTTTATGTCAGTTACACACACACACACATATATAGCATTGCCAATTCTGTCAGGAACTGCGTCGCCTGTAATGAATATAACGACATGTGGTTAATCCACACTAACATCGATTTGACATGCAAATGTTTCCAAATATACATATTTAAAACAGCTGTAATCGCTGAAATAAGAAATAACAATCAAATAGATTTAATTCTATTTACTTGTTGAGATAAACTTCAAATTTCTGAACTCCATGACTATATATATATATATTTTAAGATAATACCCAGTCGGCGCGGCTTCTGACAAAATGGACTTCACCAAAAACTGATTTAAAGGGGTCATATGACGCAGAACGTGCAGGATTCATATATTGTCTTTTTGCGGCTTAATATTCTCAGACACTAGTCCATATCGCGTTTTGATTCAAGTGTACTGACCTACTTTTGATTTATTCGTCCAATGGCTGGCATATTCCGTCCGCGTTAGGCTATTCTAGGAATTCTGTTTTTATGACTGGATTCTTTGAACCAGTCTGTGTTTTCCGCATCGCGGAAATTATAGGGCCGTATGTCTCAGAGTAGTCAGTGAAATTTGGGAAATAAATCAATTAAATCTGTATGTGGATGCGTGTACATATTTAAATGTAATCCCCTTTGTAATCGTTAACATTTTCATAAGTAACTAATTTAATTACACATTTTTT